ATATATTTCTATCTAAAACTTTGATTCCCCATTGTGGCCCCGCCCTCCCCCCGGGGGTCATTATTTGAACAATTTAGAATCTACATTATACCAAGATGCTTCCACATAAGTTTCAGCTTTTCTGGCCCAGTGGTTCTTGAGAAGAAGATTTTCAAAGATTTTTCCTAAATATTTCTATGTAAAACTTTGATACCCCATTGTGGCCCCGCCCTTCCCCCGGGGGTCATGATTTGAACAATTTAGAATCTACACTATACCAGGATGCTTCCACATAAGTTTCAGCTTTTCTGGCCCAGTGGTTCTTGAGAAGAAGATTTTCAAAGATTTTTCCTATATATTTCTATCTAAAACTGATACTCCATTGTGGCCTCGCCCTTCCCCCGGGGGTCATGATGTGAACAATTTAGAATCTACACTATACTAGGATGCTTCCACATAAGTTTCAGCTTTTCTGGCCCAGTGGTTCTTGAGAAGAAGATTTTCAAAGATTTTTCCTATATATTTCTATATAAAACTTTGATTCCCCATTGTGGCCCCGCCCTTCCCCCGGGGGTCATGATTTGAACAATTTAGAATCTACACTACCCCAAGATGCTTCCACATAAGATTCAGCTTTACTGGCCCAGTGGTTCTTGAGAAGAAGATTTTTTAATGACCCAACCCTATTTTTGCCTTTTCTTGATTATCTCCCCTTGCGAGGGGATTTGTCCCTTCATTTTAACAATTTAAATTTCCCTTCACCCAAGGATGCTTTGTACCAAGTTTGGTCAAAATTGGCCCAGTGGTTCTTGAGAAGAAGTCGAAAATGTGAAAAGTTTACAGACGGACAGACAGACGGACGGACAGACAGACAGACGGACGGACGACGGACAAAATGTGATCAGAAAAGCTCACTTGAGCCTTCGGCTCAGGTGAGCTAAAAATTGTTTGAATTTCAATGGACACTTATTGCGACCAGTTTAATATACCGGTATATCTTTGGAGCAGAATGTATTACAAAAACATCTACAAGAGAAGAAGAAAGAAATAATTGCCTTCCACGTGTCCTTCAAATCCATACATATGTAATATTGAAATAAAACTGCCCTTATTTGCATTGCCCATCATTTATATTGTATTTTTACGGTTATGAGCTCGAGATTATGTGTAATACTCTCAAATAAAATATGATTTACCAACCTTACAACGAGTTACTTTATAATATATAAAAGTTCTTACAAAGATTCCCCCGTAAAGCGATTTTATCAATTGTTAAGCCAAGCCTCTTTCTTTATTGTTATCACAAAAATATTGCCAACTGTGAAGGTATAGGTAAAACCAAACGTGTACCGTGCAACAATATATTCAAGAATTTGTGTAAGTGAGATGCAGATACTAGTACCTAAAATCTCCAAAGGATGAAAAAAATAAGAAACATTTTATATCATCTTTTTTTAAACCAGAATCAGCAACATTAGAGCATACGACTTTTCAATACTTTTAAAGCTGTCAATTAATCATTTTGAAAAGAATAATTTCATTCTTTTAACTTTTAAAATTTGATCATTTTTGTATATCTTTATATGGAGCTTTTTATATGAAATTTAAAAATGGCTACAACCACCCAGCCCCCTTAACTGTAAGTTGTAATACACTTACCTTGTCAATGGTCAACAAAAAATTGTTTTGTTGAAACATTCTGATTGATTACAAACGTACTCTAAAGTTGGGAACGAGTTTCTGATTGACAATATATCTACATAGCGTTTTAGAGAACAAGCTTTCTATCAAAACTTCGGAATTCAAATGGATACAATTTACGGTCCTTTATCAGAAGACTTTGTTTTGTATTTATACAAATTAGAATGTACTCAAAAACTAAAAAAAAAACACTTGCTGTCAATTTAAACTCAGCATTTAGAGATAATGTATATCGATGACGTATTAACAATTGACAATAGTTGATTCCATTTATATGTCGACTCGATATACCCTACGAAATAAAGGATAGTGCAAAGTCTGACACAACTGTTTTATATATGGATATTTTACTAAAAAGCATTTATTTATATTACATACCTACATGTAACAAACAAATTATTTATAAAAATCGATGGCTCAACTTTTCTTACGTCAACTCCCCTAATTTATTTAGAAATATACCTTTATAATCTGCTTTAGTGTTGTCTGAAATTGGCTACGATCAATTCATTGAAAGAGTTCTAAGATTTTTTAATTTTAACTTTTGTAAAACAATATTAACGACAGAGGTCTTACTACTATATATATTGAATATTTTTAATCAGATGGTACCAAAAAGATTTTATTTGTATTGCATGAAAACTGTAAACAAGTTTTTTTTACTCAATTCCTTACTTGGTGAAGGTCAGTAGGTACAAGATAGTCACGCGTGCTCTAAACATAATCAGTTTGAATCTATATAGAAAAAAAAAGAAGGAAATAGGAACGTGTAAATTGGGCAACTGACCTCTTGGCATCGGCCCATGAATCGTCCTAGAGAGATAAGATACCGACCTATTATATAATAGAGTCTACTCCTAGTATACCTTAGGTCATTTCTAGACTTCAGAGAAGGTATGGATTTAAATTTATTTGTTATAAGTCATGTTTATATTTTTTCTGGATTGTTTCATTAGAAAATATTTCTACTTACTTATAAAATCAATCGATTGATTGATTGTATGTAGTTTAACATCCCTCTCGAGAATAATCTCAGTCGTAAACAATGCTGAAAGAATTTGATGATAAATATATTTTTTCGGACTACACTTTAAAATTTTAGAATTATCACGAGAAAAAGGCTATACATGTAGTTTTTTAAGACTAAAAGTAATGAATATGAATTTTTTTATTGAATTTTCGTTAAAATACTCAGTAATTATTTAACACTTGCAAGTATATATTCCAAATGCATAAATAACGTTAAAGAAAACAAACAAATTTTACTTATTTGATTTATGTTACAGTAAATAAGCAAGTCATACATTTTTTTTATTTTCTTTTTTTAAGACCGAGATAGCTGGAATAATTATTACAAGTTCAAACTTCTATCTTCTGTCTATCATTCCAAACCATAAAAGATATTGGATTTTGAAATTGCAACTCTAAGCCTTATTTTGAAGTCTTTCTAGCTTAATAACTGAGACAAAATGCTGTAAACTATGTTTATACCGCTTACAGAATCAGTTGTACATTGTACTTGAGCGAGAAAACATGAAGGTCGTACTTTTCCTCCTGTGTCTGCTCCCTTACGTGTTTACTGCCCCATCTGAGGTTGACAAGAGATGGCTCGTCAATGGTAAACATTAAATGTTATATATTTTTATCCATTGAATATTATCTCCTTTATTAAAAAAACATCTTCGTTTATTAGTTTATTAGTCACAGAACACCGCTATACATACATGTATCACCACCGATTTCTGAGTAGTGGCTCTTCCATCAACGTAACATACAATGACAAAAATAACAATAAAAGTGTTCACCTCCTTAATAATTTAACAAATGGATACCTCTACCGTTAAAAATATAAATAATAAAACAACATTACAGCCTTTGCAGGGAAAATTAACATAACCTGCGGGTTTTTTTTTTCAACAACTGTATTATTTATTCCCTTTCTTTCAACCAAAGAAAACATTTTATTGGTTAATTATTTGTACTAAGAATTGCCTATACACTGTATTAGTAAAGAAAACAAAATCTTCAATTTTTAAATTAAAGTATACGTGTGCACAAATAATTTTGTCTATGAATATATAGCTAAATATTTAAAATAATTCATGTATTTTGTAATATTAAAAGTACTTAAACAATCAATTTCAAATCAATTTAAAATGCATTTTCTGTGTCCTAGAAAGAGTCCTTGCTCCAAAATTCAAACAATATCTGTTTGCACAAAATAATTCATACTCGCCGCAAAATGGTTGATGGCAAATGATGCGAAATTGTTTTGAACGGTTACCGTCCACATAAATTTACAAATAATTTGCAATTTGAAAAAAAAAAAACACGCCAGCAATGAATTCAACGAGGTACGGTGAGAGTATAGTAAGATGTCGTATTTTATTTTTCAGTCAACCATGTAGTTGACCAGCTTAAACACCTCGTCACCCCCGACATGGAACAAAGTGCCTGTGAAACACTCTGCAAAAGCGTCGTTGCTGGCATCGGTAGCCTCGTTTGCGGCACTGCTTGTTCAACGTAAGTTTTGCTAATTAAAAGCTTCTAAATAATGTTAATTATACAGTAAAAAGGTGAAATTTGTTTGATTTTACCTTTTCTTTAACGAGAATCGAACGTTTTAATTTTATCTTTATTATCAACACATACTCGTATTTGTGATTTCATATTTTTTAAAGAAATACGCACGCTAACTCTCGATTCCCGCCTACATTTTACAACCCTTTAATTCAATATAAATAGCAATTTGGCCATAAATTCTTTGTTTTATACAAAGAACAGTACCAGCGCTAAATAGTAAATTATTCATAAATCCAGCTCTTGAAAAAAGGGGGTTGACGATATTTTCCATTGAAATTGGACTTTCAGGCATCATCATATTTTGAAATAGTTTTGGATATGATTAAATGTTCCTTATATCTTTTCTTATGTTATAGGCAAATAAATAAAACATAAATATATTTATAAAATATAATGTTTCAGTTCTAAATCGCTTTGAAATTGGTGAAAAATAAGCATTTTTGTCGTTTTTTGTCAATAAACATATGCCCCCCCCCCGTGTCACACAAAAAGCTTTCGTATAAATTTGTGAAATAACAGTCCATATTACCTGTAAAAAGGAATTTTTGTGTCACGCAGGGATGTTTTAAAAATGTTTCCCATTGATTTCTATAGTGAAAAACACAAGTTTTACCAAAATTTTAGAGTTACCTCCCAAATATGTAATGTTTTATGAAAATCCATATTATTATCTATAAAAATATTAAAAATTCATCGAATATGTTAAATTTTGAATATTGACCCGGAGGAAGGCAGAAGAACAATACTATCGTATCTAAATGTCACTAATGAAAAAAAAATCCAAGACATTTTTATTTTCAAAACAAATTCAATTTCCAGTCTTTTATTTTACCCACACTTTAAGTTAAACCGTTTCATTAAAATATTGAAACTTCTATGTTAGTTGTAATATCAATGTAAATTAATGTACAGTTAATTGTTTTATAAGTTAAACAAACTCCAAGGGAGTTGTGAGGTAAAAAAAATGTTGCTACCTAAAGAGATCTTGTGATAAGGAAAATACTTTAATTTGAAAGCTAAAAGCCCTAGCATGCATAACTCGAACGTCCTTATCAATATTAACGATTTTTTCCCTCAAGAAAACATCAAATTCAAAGATCAAATTCCACACCCAAAGATAGGTTCATGTATTGTCACAAGAATAATTAAAATAAGAATTAAGAAAACCATGCTTCCCACAGCTCAAAGTTTTAGGGCAAAGTAAAAAATTTGCAGAAAGGCAAATAAACAGACCAAATATTAAATGGTTCTGAATTTCCTACAATCATATTGAAAAATTTTTATTTTCTTTTGCAGACTCATTTCATCTCTGAATGGTTGAATAAAATAAATGAAAAAAATGATGTTTTTGATTGTTTTTCTAATTATAATTGAAGACTGGTACGAAGATGTTTGAGCCTGCTATTTAGGGCTTGTAAAATGACCAAAAGAGACTTGTTTAAAATTTTATCTTAAAGATATCATTCTATCTAAATGAAATATACAGTATGAAGATAACGAATAATGTTCGAGCTCAAAAGTCCATAAAACAATACAGAATAGGAGCGAAGCAAAGACGGACCTCCAAAACATCAGAAGTGGGATCAGGTGCCATGGTGGAATGAACATCCTCAGCCGACAGGTCACACTCGCCGTGTGCTGCTTGTCATGATCGGGAATAACGGGGAAATATTTTGTCAATTCAGTGTGTAAATAATGGCCTAACAATTAGTATAAAAACGGAAGTCAGCATTTGACTCAATGATAAATTGTATTTGAGGACAAGATCATTGAATCGACCATAGATTTTACGAGACTGCTGATATTCTTGTTTCATCAACTTGCTTGTCAATGATAATATACCTCGTTTTAGAAATTCTTCGTAGATCTACGTAGATCGTGCATTTGCGAATCGAATCAACGGAGAGATACAAACCTTGTTTGCAGGTGATGAAGGTATATTGCTGCGTAAGAATGGGAAGTTGACGATTGAAAAGTTAATGTCAACACGCTTATCATAAAGCTTGGTTAAATTACATTAAACGTCTTTTTCAAGTAAAAATATCCAAAGCTGAAACAGATATGTCAGACTCTTTATTTTCTTCATATCATTTAGATAGTATATATCTACGTTTTCTATATATCTAAATGTCGATTTGAAGGTCATAGCAAGTATTTCCTTTTTTAAGCATAAGATTTTGGACAAATTTTGCTTCATATAAATGCAAAAATTGGTCTGCTAATACCGGGGCGCAATTGGTACCCATAGGTATTCCAGTAGATTGTGAAAAGAGACCTGGTCTCCAAAAGCAACCTAGATTTTGTTGATCAGGGACTCAAGTATCTTTTTGATGTCAACTTCAGTGTACTGGTGTATACATATAGAATGTTTTTAAACAAAATAATTTTGAAATGACAAATGGCAAAGTAAGTAAATTTACGATTGAGGTCCTTTTTTTGAAAAAGCAGTTGTTAAAGATATCAGAAAGCAATCGTTGGGAATGGTTATGTATAAAGTTGAAAGCTTTTAAGCTTTTGATTTTGGTAAAATCTTGGTTGTTTTGTTTGTTTGTTTTCGTTGAGGTAACAAACTTATATTATTTAATTCCGTCATAAACTTGTTCTTACCAGCCAGGTTAAGAAGTTTGTACGTGCTATAGGATAAAATCCGACAAAACGGTTAATTTTGATAAGGAATCGCCTTATATTTGTTAAACTGAAATTTATACAGCTCCAGGATTGAAGAGTCAAAAAAATTAAATTTAATCTTAATGATCTTGAGATATTCACAGCAAAAATTGAAACTAGTTGAAAAAATAATTATTGTCGTAAGAATAATTGGATAGTCCAGTCAAACTTTTTTCCCAAAACATTCTTACCCTTCATGAATTGTAAAAGAAATTATTCGAGAATAACTTTGATATTAACAATGCTCACTCTGGTAAATTAACTTATAAATTAAAATTACTTCTTTTTATCAAAACTTTTTTTTAATAAAAAAGGGCTATATATATAATATATATATAATTTTTGTCTAAAGAAACATTCACTATATGCAAATTACTAGCAACATTTATCATTCCACTTTTTTGACGAAATAATTATATGTACATGTACAGAACTGCGTCTTCAAATTGAAAGTTTTATATAAATTTTTGTCCCCTTGGCAGCGGACAATACCTCCCCCAAATTTTTTTTTTTAACTTCTGTTATATCTTAATGAGTTTAAGTGCACGGAAGATCACTTTAAATAATTTAAGTAAGTATGAATGTCAATATTCATTCATATCTATTCTCGTGCTATTAATTGATGAAGTAAGAATATCCAAGACTTTAAAGGCAAAAATATCTAAGAAATTCTGAGGAAGAATCTATACAATCATTTTTTCTTACTTATCTGGTTGTCGTGGTATCAAAGTTTATTTTATTGAAAATTATTTGAATATAACAATCAAGATTTAATAAAGTGCTTTAAGGAGTTCCGGATTTTAAGCAGTTCCGAATAATTCTTATTTAATTATTAAAATTTTGCCAACAGAAATGTTTCTGTTTCTAATGATTCTTTACATAATTGAAGATTAATGTATTGTCCATACTCTGGGCGACATAGCGAGATCAACAACTCTGTCTTTCTTACCGTGTCCAGGCTTTATGTTTACAACCGCAAGCGCTTTAGTGACCTTGATTGACAATAAACACGTGCTATCTCGAAAGTAAAGACGTGTTTTGAAAGTGTTGTAAGGTATGTATTTTATTTACGATAAGTGAATGAAACACTAATGTATCTTCTATCTCATGAAATTTTGGTTTCGTTAAAATACGACGTAAATCTTAAATAAAGAGCAATATTCACATCATCCCATTTTAAGCATTCCGAATATAAAGAGTTTTCTCAAAAGAGCTGGTACAAACAAATAAGAGAAGCATAAAAAAAGTCAGAAACATGAATTCATTTTACATTCAGAGTTTTATGATAAATTATCACAGACTCCACATAAAAACAACAGTGAATTTAATGTTTCCTAATTATTTATTTCTTAAGTTTGGCATTTAATGGCCACGGCTGGTTCAAATCAATTTATGAAAAATACACGTGTACAGTGGGTGCCGACCGAGTTGGTTTTTGGCACACCTCCAATAAAAGCAAGCAAGCAAACAAACAAACAATCAATCAATCAATATTAACTGTACACATGTCAAAGTTTTACAGGATAAGACTGACGTTTAGCTTCAAAGTTACTGCAGTTGCGTCAGCCTTATGCATCAATCAATATTCATCAATCAGTGTTCAATACGATCAATAATATTCAATTGGATCAATCAATGTTCAAACAATATTCAACAAATCAATATTCAGTTCATTCAGATCAATGTATTGTATGCTCATGTTAAGCCAATCAATATTCGAATAAATCAATCAATATTCAATGTAAATTATGTACAAGTTCCTTGTATTCCATTCCAGAATTATCCACGCAATCATGTTCGAGTTGCGCCCTGTTAATAGCGGCGCAAGTCAAGATGATATGTGTTAAGCTAAATCCGCCTTTCAGCAATTGGCTCTTAGGTATCAATGTTATATACGTAGCATAATTCAATACTGGGTGCAGATAAGGCCAGCCGTGACGATGCTGCTGTGCAGAAGATTGATGATAATCCTAAACAACAGCTACGCCCTGTTTACAGCGGCAAGTGTTATTATGATTGGATAAGTGAAACTCCTCCTCATGGTCCTTGGCACTGTCCATCACACTGGCATGTAATTCATCGAAAGAGGGGGGAAGTCGGACATGGATAGGCAACGTCTTAGAATGAGTCGTGGCTCCAAACCTTCAGTATCTTTCCTGAAAAGAAAAACTCAACACACAGAAAACAAATTCAAGAAATTAGGGATTGGAAAGGGAGGGTATTTGAAAATATTAATCCAATTAAGCAGCACTCAAATTAAGACGTGTATCTTTGAGGGTAGTTGATAATTGACTGCTCCAATGCTCTGCGCGTATATTGCGCGCGCATCATACCGCGTGGGGCGCTGTGATAAATGGATTTATATCGTATTCACTGCATAAATCCGATTATCACAGACTCCACATAAAAACAACAGTGAATTTAATGTTTCCTAATTATTTATTTCTTAAGTTTGGCATTTAATGGCCACGGCTGGTTCAAATCAATTTATGAAAAATACACGTGTTCAGTGGGTGCCGACCGAGTTGGTTTTTGGCACACCTCCAATAAAAGCAAGCAAGCAAACAAACAAACAATCAATCAATCAATATTAACTGTACACAGGTCAAAGTTTTACAGGATAAGACTGACGTTTAGCTTCAAAGTTACTGCAGTTCCGTCAGCCTTATGCATCAATCAATATTCATCAATCAATGTTCAATACGATCAATTAATGTTCAATTCAATCAATGAATGTTTAATTCGATCAATAATATTCAATTGGATCAATCAATGTTCAAACAATATTCAACAAATCAATATTCAGTTCATTCAGATCAAAGTATTGTATGCTCATGTTAAGCCAATCAATATTCGAATAAATCAATCAATGTTCAATGTAAATTATGTACAAGTTCCTTGTACTCCATTCCAGAATTATCCACGCAATCATGTTCGAGTTGCGCCCTGTTAACAGCGGCGCAAGTCAAGATGATATGTGTTAAGCTAAATCCGCCAAACGTGCATAGATACTCATTAACTATGCACGCCGCTTATTTGAAAATATTAATCCAATTAAGCAGCACTCAAATTAAGACGTGTATCTTTGAGGGTAGTTGATAATTGACTGCTCCAATGCTCTGCGCGTATATTGCGCGCGCATCATACCGCGTGGGGCGCTGTGATAAATGGATTTATATCGTGTTCACTGCATAAATCCGATTATGTTGATTTGAAAAGGCTGAGAAAGTATTAAAAATTTCAAAGTCATGGCTTTAACTCCCCCCCCCCCTTCTCTCATGCACACAATGACACATGCTTAGAAGAAAATACATGTACAATTCAATAAAATTGAATAAAAAAAACTGTATAGAATGAACAATCTCAATAATATTTAGAGTAAAGAGTGCATTTATTTTTTTCTCAGTGTTTGCTATATATCAAATAACACTAACCATTGAAAGATACTACAAGTTGTCAAGTAGTCATGGGAAGAAAAAAGAAGAAAACTGTTTTCAATCAAAAGGCAATTAGTCCAGCAGCTAAGGCAACAGAGGCTGTTACCAGAAAGTATAAAGCTGGTAGATATCCTAAATCTCCATCTAAAGGACAAAGAGTCAAAAGAGCACTTTATGATATTAAAACAAATAAGGTAACTATTTCTCATTCTGCTGTAAAACACAAGTTATCTTATGG